TTTTTTTTTTTTTTTTTTTTTTTTTTAAGTTGCGTGCCATTTCTCGCCAATTCTCGAGCGATCACGTATATGTATGTACGTGTATTTCCTTGTTCGTAAGCGATCGGCCCCTCGAGTTGTCTAAATGTCTTGAACAATATCGCGATATCTCTTGAACGAACGCGATCGTTATAATGTCGTGTACGACCAGTGCCTATCGCACCGTCGATATCGTTTCAACGTTATCGCGATATAACGATAAACTCGTCGACGAAAAAAATTATAATTTATCAGGTGAAATCATCGCGGCTTTGTAACTTACAACGATATTCGCGAGAACCGCGTCACCGAGAGAAAGGTGCATGAATATCGCGTTTTGCGGAGAACGAATTCTCAGTTCAAAGACTGATGAAGATAGAGCAGGTACTCGTGAAGAGTATCGAGATGTTTCGTGGCACTTTGCCTCGTGAATTTGTCGTTTATCTAAAAGGAATCCAAAATGTACTTTCGTCTCCGTCATCTTGTACATTTTAATTTTGTTTTCCACATCTGCCAAGCATTTTCTTCGAAGGAAAGAAAGAAAAAAGATAGCGATTTTCTGAATCTCAGAAAGCTAAATCATGATTCTTTCAATAGATGGTCATGGTCAGGAATTCCTAACTTGGAAATATTTCATTCCTTTTGTCGCTTTTGTTACACATGACCATGCATTTTTCGATCGAAACGCTACCAAAAAGGAAGTATTTGATACTATTATCAATACTTTTTTTTTTTTTTTTTTTTCTTGTTTTTTCGATTAAGTCAGAATCGTAGTAACATGAAGAAGCATTGCTTTAAAAAAATCGTCTCGACGATATCCGTAGAGGACTCGCAAAGCTCGTGGCCATATGTATACGAGCATCGTGGCGGATTGATTCAACGATATATACAGCTTCTGCGGTTGTACGCATCTCCCGAACGTTCCCACAAACGCAACGCGTGCACATAAAAGTCGTCGTACAGGTTCTTCGATGCTCCTTCGGTAATTTCTGTCTCGTCTTTGACGACGCTGTATTAACCTTGGTACCTTGACGATCGTCCAACCACCCGAGAGAATTCGATACTCGAACCCACCGTACGTGTGTGTGGTTTGTCTTTTTATTATGCGTGTAACGCATGAGAGAACGTTCACCGATGTCTCAAGCTTTGGTCCGTAATTTTCGAGAAGATCGAAGGTCGAAGAAACCTTTTTGGAGAAAAAGAAAAAAAGAGACAAGAACGCCAGTTTCCGGGATGAACTGCTGGTGTCGCGCCGATGACATCCGGTGACGATGACAGGCTTGTCGCACGGTTGACAGGATTTCAGATTCCTTTCCCTTCCAACCGTCTCGATTTCGTTATCGTCCGCAAGCGTAATACGTACAATACCTGGTTCCCTCGGACGTGCACTTGCTTTCTTTTAAATCTAATTGAAAATTAATGCGCTGCAGCGTGGCTGGAACACGGCGTCGGCCGTAGGCGAACGAGAGAAGCGTGTGCAGAATTCTGAGAACTTTCGCACGATGCGATCTCGTTGGAAAAACACGAGGGAAACACGTAGACGCGCGCGCTTGCCTACGAGATTCTGTCTCGTTGTTTCAGCGAAAACGCGGATCCGCACGATTTTCGCTTTGATTTTGAAAATGCCAGGCAAGACCGATGCGATAAACTGCATTTGACGAAGTGCCATTACCACGCCATGTGTGCCTAAAACGGTACACGCTATAATGTTTAGTATATATCTGCGAAGTTATTTTTCCTTTTTTTTCTGTCCCAGTACTGTAAATTTGTTGAATGTTTTTCAAACATGGAAAAATTAGCGAAATAAAATTCACGCAAGAATGTGTATGTAAGAGATTATACAGTAAATAATATTTATTTCCAATGTTATTCGTGTTTTCATATATCGATGTATTTTTGTTGAAGCAAGAGACATAAAGGCAAGATTTGTCAGGACAATCATTTTGTAATTTTTACTAACGCTGTATCGTGACATTAAAAAATCGTTCACTTTTGAACCAATGAATCTCTCACCTGAAAGCTTGTATCTTTAGGTTCAGTTCGTCGAGAACGAACGATCAAGAAAATAAATAATTGCAGTTGGATACAGTAGTGAATTTTCCCCGGGAAAATATTCGCGGCTGTTCACACGGAGCAAGCAAAACCCACGGAGACACGGTCTAAATGCGTAGGCGCGTGTTCACGTGGAACGTGCACGCGTAAATGGGAGAAGGACAATGGACACTTTTAATTAACCGTCCTACTTTACCGATTTCGATTCGTTTCCATGTAAGACAGTGTCGGATCCACCTTCCTCGAAAATCCCCCAAGCCGCTTACTTTTTCGTCTGACTCACTTCTGCTTTTGGCCCTGAAATACAACTGTAAAATAACAACGCTCTCGATCGATCCTTGTTGACAGAATGAAGAGATGATCGCAAGCCTACCGATACACAGCGGCGGCGGCGGCGGCGGCGGCGGCGGAGGTGGAGGAGGAGATAGTGGAGGAATTGGAGGTGGGGGAGGTAGTAGCGGAGGAGCGAGTAGTCGCGTGGGCCGTGGATTGGCACTTCACAGGTCAAATTCGAGTCTGGAGCTTCCTCACAGTCCGGATCCTGGCTGCACTCGCGTACCGGAAACTCCTCTGAGAAGGGAGTATGGATCTCACGGTAAGTCTCGTGCCGTCACTGCCGGTTATTATACCCCGCAAATCAGAGTATAATTTCAATGAAAATCACTTCTTCCGTGTCGTTAAAATTTATAACAGTCATAACCGTCAGCGGTTTTGCTCGCAGGGAGCATCGACGTAGTGGCACAATCGGTAACAGTCGGAGAGAATTTGTTCGCGATGCTTCAAGACTTGAGGCCGTCGTCGTCGTCGTCGGTGCCGGCGGTGTCGACTCCTCCATCGTCATCGGATCAACGGAGTTCGGCTGGCGTGGAATACCTGAGACGCGTCCCGGATGGGCAGATCGTCGACGTGGACGAGGTTTGCGGCCCGACGACCGGTAACTCCAGCCCGAAATTACGGTTGAAGCTGCACAGATTGTGGGGCGCGAAGGCCACGACGCGGCCTATGGAGGAGAGCTGCAACAGTCCGGTCGGCGTTTCGGCCGACGTCGAGGAACGACACAGGAGGCGAGCGTTCGCTCACTACGATTGTCAGTCGCTCACCGCGAATCTCGGCTACGCGGCCAAGCTGAGAGGTATTCTGCTCGCGAGAAGAAGGAATACCGCGACTGGCGCCTCGGCCGCCAGTTCCTTCAGAGCGTCCACCCCCGACGAAACTCCCGAGGAAGACGCTGGTGACGGGCGAGGTACGTAACCACCACAACTACGTCCATATTTTCAATCCTGTTGCTAATTGCTTAAATCGACGTGTAGGCAACAACTTGCTGGAATCGTGCCCCTTCTTCCGAAACGAAATCGGCGGCGAGGGAGAACGGGAGGTGGGTCTCACTCGGTCCTCCCCAGGCAACGGAGTTCACAGACCGTCCTTGTCGTACGGTGTCGCGGTTTTGGAACCGGCACCCGGCGAATCGTTGTGGAAGCACACTTGCCCTCTACAGAAACGGCCACTGCCTATCGAGAGCATCGACGAGGGTGCTCATTACTACAGACGGTATTTCCTCGGTAAGGCATGTCAACGTTAGCGCGATGATCGGCCGTAAAACTGTTCACTTTTGCAAAGAAACGTTATTTATTAAACTTTCAACTTCTGGATCGTTTGTTTCCTATTAACTTTGTATGTTGTAATTAATTTGTTTAATGATGTGGTTGAACAGTAACAGTTAGTTTGTTATTTTGATTGTCAAAAGTACTGGAAGATTATATATTTTAAGGTAAAATATAATAGTTGGGAATATTTCTTTAATTAGCATTACTTGAAGTATTGAAAGTAGATTATTAAAAAGTTCCTTAAACTCTATATAATTTCACACGATTCATGTTTCAACTTCAGATCTACATATCTTGTAATTGCAGAAAATCTGTTAATTGGAATTTTAACTGGGAAACTGTATGTAAATGGAATTTTACTAAATGATTCATTGACCTTTTTCAACTACATATCCTATAATACTTTGCAGAAAATCTGTTAATTGGAATTTTAATTGAGAAACTGTATGTAAATGGAATTTCACTGAATGATTCATTGAGCTTTTTCAACTTCAGATCTGCATGTCTTGCAATATTTTGCAAAAAGCTTAACTGGAATTTTTTCTGAGAAAATAAATTATAACACACTAAACTAACAACAAAATAATAGAGGAAATTGTAGAATGAGTTAAAGTTTCAATGTACGTTACAACAATTTCGAGAACAAAAATGACAAACAGACAGAAGAATACAGTTGTTTCATTCGACTCTACTCATTATTTACGACTTCGAACGTTGTTGTTCAGGCCGAGAACATCAGAATTGGTTCGGTATGGACGAGCAGCTGGGCCCGGTTGCCATCAGTATTCGAAAGGACGGCAACCAGTATAGAATAATAGTTCGCACTTCGGAGTTATTGACACTTCGCGGCTCGGTGCCGGAGGAGGCACTCGGCGGTATAAGGCCACAAGGCAGGCTACCGACCAGAGAACTGTTGGAGTTGGTCGCACCGGAGGTTCAACTCGGTTGCCTCCGTTTGGGGATTTCCTCTGCCGAGGAGGCTGTGGCTAGATTGGACGAGCAAGGCCTCTCTAATAAATACAAAGTAGGTGTCCTTTACTGCAGATCCGGTCAAAGGACCGAAGAAGAGATGTATAACAATCAGCACGCTGGGCCGGCATTTCTCGAATTTCTTGACTCTATCGGTAAGAAATCGTGGAAAATTTCCATTCCCTTTTCATTATATTGTATGACAAGTTCATCCTGATTTTCATTATATTGCATTATATTTGTTTACACGCGCGCCTGATGTATGTAGGCCAAAGAATCAGGCTGCGAGGATTCGAAGGGTACAAGGCCGGTTTAGACACGAGAACCGATTCAACCGGCACCCACGCAGTTGCCGCGACCTATAGAGGAGCAGAAGTAACCTTTCACGTGTCAACGATGCTACCTTTTACGCCGAATAACAGGCAGCAGCTGCTTAGGAAGAGGCACATAGGAAATGACATAGTCACGATCGTTTTCCAGGTAAATCACGTTTGCTTGCGTATCTTACGATCGTTTATCTATAATCTGTACTATGTATTTGGTACAATAGGAACCTGGCGCGTTACCGTTCAGTCCTCGAAGGATACGGTCGCAGTTTCAACACGTGTTCATTGTGGTCAGAGCTGTTGATCCGTGTTCGGATAACACTCAGTACAAGGTAGCCGTATCTAGGAGCAAAGAAGTACCGATTTTCGGGCCACCAGTCCCTCAAGGTGCGACGTATACCAAGGGAAAAGCGTTTGCTGACTTTATTTTGGCGAAGGTGATCAATGCAGAAAATGCTGCGCACAGGTAATAACGATGATGGCGATATTACAAAAAAAAAAAAAAAGAAGAAAAAATCTAGCACATTGATTGCCAAAAAGTAAAAAGAGAAGACCGTCAGAAGCTACATATCTTTATTCTTGCAAAAATGCAGATTATTTTTTCTGTGCTAATAAATAAATTTAATTTCACCTAGAAATATTTCACTCCAATGCTAAAAATTAATGTTCAAAGAAAGATCTTGTGTCGAGAGTGTGTAGAGTTCAATCCATGGCTAGAGTTGTATTTGACTCGTGGAATCTCTTGCTCAAAGATGTGAGTTAAGCATTCTAGATCTACTTTTGTCTGTAGATCTGAGAAATTTGCCACCATGGCGACTAGAACGAGGCAAGAGTACTTGAAGGACCTCGCTAATAATTATTCTTCCACCACAATGGTTGATACCGGGCAAAAATTTTGTAAGTTGTTCTCCAATCGTGATTTCGATTTTAATTTCGACTTCAACCTTGATCCTTAGCCTCAGTCTTTCCAACCTTATTTTTGTCCTTTCGAACGAGCAATCCACCGACTTGTGTTTTCGTACAGCTATGCTGTCGTTCAGCAGCAAGAAGAAAACGACCGTTCGACCGAGACTGTCTTGCGACGCTTTGCAACGTGGAGCGATATGTTGGCAGGTGATACTAGAGGACAGCAATCAGAACACGGATTGCTATTTAGGAATAAGCATAGATACGATCGTCTTGATCGAAGAACATTCTAGACAGATCGTATTCGTTACTCCATGCGTCAGTGTGCTCGGATGGCATGCTCAAACAAATAGGTACTGACTTTTTCATTTTCTTAATTGGATTGTAAATGACTTACAGTGTCGGCTGAATTACTTGATCTTAAAACACTTTCTAATTTTTTTAAATCTAAAATACTCTAGAGCGAGAGAAAATTGAGTAATTTAATTTGAATATAAGCTAAACCCGCGTGTCTTTACCTGTAATTTTAAATAATAAATTATTTCAAAATCATCTAATTAAATACATTATTCAAACATATTATTTCAATAATGTCCAAGTCTGTGAGAAGGGACGTCTTGATGTCTAAACTGTGATCCAATAATACCAATTAAGAGTTAAACACGATCATGCTCGTTCGTAAATATCCTGTATCCTAATCCTTACAGCTTGAGATTGTACTATCATCAAGGAGAATGTATCACCATCCACGTGCGCGGTGATTATGGGGAAAGAGACGAACTGATGGAGATAGTGGCACGTTTACGCTCAGTAACTCCAGGATCTCCAGCCACGGAACTTTCCTTGAAAAGAAACAGTCTGGGACAATTGGGTTTTCACGTGCAACCGGACGGTGTAGTGACACAAGTCGAAAGTATGGGACTCTCTTGGCAAGCGGGACTGAGACAAGGATCTAGACTCGTCGAGATCTGCAAAGTGGCCGTGTCCACATTGAGTCACGATCAGATGGTTGACTTGTTGAAAACCAGCGCTCAGGTCACTGTCACCGTGATACCGCCGAACAGTGACGGTAACCCCAGAAGGTGAGAGGCACG